CTTCTTGTCTTGTCTCTTGTCCTTTCGTCCGTCGTCACCCCCACGCCAGGTTTGTTTCGTCATAGTTCTGCCACAGCCACAGTCATAGTCACGTTTTGTCATAGTCTTGTTAATCTTTATTTTGTTACTTTGTCATAGTTTTTCCACAGTCTTGTTTGCTTGCTTTGATACTTTGCCCACAGTTTGCCACAGCTTTGTTTTGTACTTTGTCTGGACATTCACCCTGTTTTTGTTCAATAAACCTTGTTCCCCTCATCTCCGCACCTGAGTCCTCCCGTCAACACCCACCTCCCTGACAACGACACTGGTTTGCAACATTATCACAAGCCACAACGGGATATCTTAGGTCAGTTTGTATATTTGTGACTTTGCAGTCGTTCGGGCGAACACTGATATCATAAACCCGTATACTGGAAGTACTGGTGCACAGGTTGTTGCTCCGTTGCCTGCCTCCTCCATTACAGATCCGCTCAACACTTCTCTTGTCCTGACTCCTGATGAAGGTCTGATAAGGTCTGTCACAGAGCCCCCTTCTGTCAATGTACCTGAAGAATGAGACCAAAGTCCGGTGTAACCAGAAGAATGATTTCAGGGAATAGATACAAAAAATGTGCATGAAAGAAATTAGAAAAGGTAAAGGATAAAAACCTGTCTATGTTTTCTTTTTTCAGATGCATTTATCTATACCAATGTAAGGCTGCTTAAGCGGTTACAATAATGGATGGATGGATGGATGGATGGATCAGTTTAACTCACCCCTCCCATTCGGATTTTGATCTTCTGTCGAAGGACTCCTGAAGGATGTGCTTCCTAACAAAGTTGTTGTAGGCGTTGTTGTCATAGTTCCTCTGACACGGACGACAATTGTAGGCTCCTGCCCCGTCCAGGATCAGAGCGAGGGCCAGAGTGGACATGACAGTGATCAGGATAGCCACGTTCATCTTGTCTAGAAAGAGAAGAAATTGAAGTCATTCATCCAACGATCAACAAGCTGACTCACACAGAGCTGCTGGTGTCAGGAAGGTGGGTTCTGAAGGGAGGACTCAGTTGCGGAGATGAGGGGAAACAAGGTTTATTTTAACAAAACTGTGAAAGTCCAGACATGAGTACAAATCAAAGCTGTGGGCAAAGTATCAAAGCAAAACTATGACAAAGTAACAAAATAAAGATTAACCAAAACTGTGACAAGACTGTGGCAAAAACTGTGGCAAAAACTGTGACAAAAACAAACCTGGCGTGGGGGAGACG